CCTAGAGACTGAAAGGCAGAAAAATTCTGTAGGCTGTTATATCTACGTGACAGAGGTTAAGTTTGGAGCTAAAATTCTGAGTAAAATAAAAAAAATAAAAAAATAAGAAAAAAGGAAGCGAGGTTAGGAGGTATGGTGAGGATTAACAGAGGCACTTGAACAAATGTTTGGGGAGGGTTGTGCAGCTATGCTGACAACAGAAGCTTTGGGCTGTGGGTCTGAAAGGAAATAGGATTAAGGAAACTGAGTAAGGAGACAGGTCAAAGTGAAGATCTGCTGGCATTGCCCATACAGCTGAAAAGTAGTGGAAAAAACATTGCTACATTCAAAGGGACTTAAAGTGGGGTGAAACTGTGGGACATAGGAATACTGCAAACCCTCTGACAAGATGCTTGTGTTCAAAGTGACTGCCACAATGCTGACACTTAACCCAGAGGAGACAGCAGTTCCATAGGAATGTACATGAAGTATGAGGTTCATGCTGAGGCTTTGTTTTTTCTTCATTTTCTTGAATAACCCTGTCACCTTCCCAACCCATCCCTCCTCCCTTCCCCACTCGTGTAGGCTTGTTTCACCTGGTGTCATCTTCTCCTGGGACTACTGTACTTTTCTGTGCTGAGTATAAAGTCATGAGGCAGGCTGGAAGCATCAGAGAACTGGAATTTGACCGCTTAATTGTTTTGTATAGACTACAAGAGTAAGGAATAGCTATTATTTTAGCTTAGATTTAAATTATGGCCTGGAACAATATAGGAGCCTGTGTGAGTGTATTAATTTCCTGGGATATTTCTGTGTTCAGACATATAGGAATGAAACACCAAAAATAACAGTTTAAAATATTTACTTAGGTAAAGTTGGCAAATTGCTGACTCAAAAATGCTACTAAACATCAGTTTGCCTGTTGAGGAGTGTGAGAGAATTTTTTGGAAATTAAGATTATTTTCATGTAAGTGAAAATTTTAATGCAGCTTTTTGAATGGGCTGCTCAACTTTATATACATTATAGAACTGAAAGATAACATCTCAGTAGGCAACAGAGACAAAAGAATGATAAATCAGGGTCAAAATGTTTGCTACGTTATTATTTTGTACTTCATTAGATTCAATTTAACTCCTATAACTTTATAAAAATGCTAAAATTACTAGTAATGCACTTCAGTGAAACAGCATCTTTGCAAATTTTCTATTTTCTATTCCCAGTGACAGTTGATTCAACACTTCAAAGTACAGGAAAGTAAATGATGCAGGGAATGATAAATGATGCTCCCAAATGTCTGAAAGATGATAGCATCGAGATAAAAGGAGGGCAAAGCACTACTTACAGAAGTTAAGGGATAAAACAGAAAGAAAGAAGAAAGCTGTCAGGAACTTTTGGGCAACAAATATCATCAAAACATTTCTATATGGAAGAAAGATGATTCTATTCATTAGAGACTCATTTAAAAACTTTATGTTCCTAAACCCAAATATCTGCTTCTGTTTGGTGTGCCTAATTTATTCACTTCTACGTCTTCACACAAGCTAAGTAGAACAAAACATCACAGCAGAAGAAGGACAACAGTTTTTGAATCCTGCTGTGTTTGTTCAAGAAAGCAAGTAAAGCTTTCCAACAAGGAAACAAAACACCTTTTCAAGCTATTAAAAAGGAATAGCTTTTGCTCATCCAAGAATACAAAAACTGCTTTACAAAAGTGTTTCAAAGATAACGGCCGTTTTGGAAACCAAACTGAAAGTGTCAGAATATTGGTAAATTTGAGTTATTAGTTTATTATTATTTTCATTTTCACAATTATATGGGATGGCTACCTAGAAAGATGCAGAAAAGCAGCATAGATTACATGACATGAAATTTGCATTATGTTATTTAATTTGTCTGGATAGTAGCACTCTTTTAGCTACATTAGCTCTTCCTGGACATTTTCTTCTGAAAGCTGCATAAACATATTTAATCAGCATCTTTTCACTTGAAATTATAGGGTTTTGTTTGTTTGTTTGTTTTCTGAGGGGGGGGACTTTTTGTTGTTTTGTGGCATTACCTATTTTAAGTATAGGGAATATCACAAAAATCTTTTTAAGACAAATATCATGGTTCAACAGGCATCCAACTTACAGTCCTTATACTTCATTTCACCTACACACCTACTCCGAATTTTCAACAATTTACCGCCACAGATAAACTAGAACCTACAGGTCTTCAAGATCAACAGCTAATTACCATAGAACATTGACTAGACACTGAGAAGACTGTACCCAAAATGTTTTGCACAGATGGCATAAAATTTCATTAAGATGACCAAGTATTTATAATGGATATAAAATAGTAAAGGTAAACTTGGAATGCCACATTTTTTCTTTCAGATCACTAGAAGTTTAAAGGGAATGTGTTTAGAGAGACATGACTGTTTGAAATGTTTATAGAAAAAACATTTGCAATATGATGCATAGATTCCAACAAAAATACAGTACAAGTTCAGACACCATATGGCAAAACATGTACACCAGTGACTAAGTCATTCATAAAGGCATTATACATCAGCTTTCCTTCACCTTGCAGATAGCGAGAGATTCTCTGGTTTGGGAGTTGCTTGCTACATTCTGGCCTGCTAGAAGAATGCCAGGATATTAAACTCTTTTTTTTGTGTGTGTGGCATGAAATGGGAGAAAACCCTTGCCACCTAGAAAGCCCTGTTTGTGTCTGACATTTCACATTGTATCTCCTGTTAAATGACAAGTAGATTTTTCATTGCTTTATGCAGAGTTGTGGCAATCTGTTGGCCAGTCTAAGACTGAACAGCAAGCCCCAATAGCTGGAAGTGGCCTTAATTCTAGATGCACTCAAGTCAACTGAAAGGCTTGAATGGTGTCACAATGACCTCTAACAGGGGTATGAGAAGAATACTGCTATGAAGCATCTGTTTAGGGTTAGTTGATAGAAGAGCAGGGAGGTGACTGAGGGTACCCCCTCAGTCTTTTTTAGAGAGAGGTTTTGAGCCAAAACATTATTAGCACAAAGCCACTGAGAGGCTCTGCAAGGGAATCCAAGAGATTCAAATAAAAAAACATTCAAAGCACAGAGATTCAAATAACATGGATCTGGGGTCAGGGAGAAAACTAGAATGGCAAAGTTTTGATAATCACATGTAAAATATCTCATAAAGATCGTCAGCCCATTAGGAACAGGGAAAGCCTGTCAATAAGAAATAACAAACATCATATCCTACCCAAAGCCTACAACTTTTTATGAAGCTAACAGGTTATGTTCATGAAAAGGCTTACTCTTGCATAAAGTTACCAAAAGTCCTCACGGACTACTTGTGTTTATCCTCCCTGCCCATCCCATTCATTCCTTCCTACCCGCTCCTCTTTTTCTACATGAAAGTAGGGTACAATTAACTAGACATTATGCACACACACACAAAATACATGGCTCTGGTATTGCATTCGTTTGTTCAAGGGGTACTGAAAACTGGCATTTATGGTTTTCCATGAAAACTATCGCTGTTTTGTTTTTGTTTTTTCTCTAATCTAGAACTTGACTAATTTGTACCACTACACAATTTAATAGCTCAGAATTGTAGACCTCAAAATCTAAAATACAGCATCACAAGACACTGGAAAACAGCCTGATAGGTTATATCTTTCCCCACCAGCATATTTTTGCCTCACCCTACTTCTTTCTGTAAATTGTTAGGAGAAGCATTTGGCCATACACTCTTAAACAAGTAGGTTAACATTAATAAATCAAAGTTAGCCACTCTTTTAGTCCTTCTACTTGCTCAGAAAGCTGTAAACAGAAGATTTTTTTTAAATCCGTCTATTTCCAGAAAAAAAAAACAACAATTTTTGTTACCAAAATGTCACATTTCCTAGGCTCTGCAACACACAAGAACAAACTATGGACATAGCCCAGTGTCACAGACTATCGTGTTACCTGAAGATTTAAAACAGGTTTTTCTGAGATCCATAAGTAAAGAAATTTCATACATAGCATTATAAAAATACAAGCTCCTGTGCTCATATTTCTTGCTTTTTAAATTATAACACAGAATACATTAATTAACAATCTTAAAGTTTTGAGGTCCATGGATGCCCTAACTGTTCTGCAAAAGATCGCTTGATCTAGAGCTTTCATTAAAAACTCAAATTTTATAATCATTCAAAGACTGTTACTAACAGTGACTTTTAATTTCTTAATTGCCATGACATTCCCTATTAAAAGTATTTTACCTACCACAAGAATGACTTGGATAAGTGAGTATTGCTATCCCCCAATACATTTGATTAAATTTTTCATTTCAATACTTCAAACCACAAACCAGCACCTAGATTTTCTGTTTTCTGGAAACGTTAATTATATTTGTAAAATACACAGGAATGATGCAACAAGCATCAAGTGATTCTTGGAGTTTGCCACAATTATTGTGCTTTCATGTATAGTGGTGACTCTGGTAACATACCACAGTGATGCTTAAAAGTTGTTTAAAAGTTGTTTAAAGAGAATTATATGAAAAAAATACATGAAAATTATATGAAAATTGTGTGCAACCTATTAAAAAGGTCAAATGTTGGATGTATTCAGTGTTTTGATAGATACAGTGGGAAGCAGTAAAAGGGCACCAGCTACACTGTGGGTTCTGCAGTCTCTGTAAGAGATAAAATGATCCAGAGATGTTTCACAGAGTAACGGGCTGAATTTCTTTTTTCTTATTATTATTTCAAAATGTTGATAAAGTAGCTTCTCTGCTGTTTTCAAGCTGTAGGCCACTATATGCCTATCATGTTCAGATAGCTCATATGTTTGAAGAGCTGCTCTCAGCATGTACCTTAGCTAGCCACATCATTGTCTTTATGTCAGCTACTTTTCTTTCTGTTTCAACTACAGATCCCCAATACAGTGAAACTGTTTAACTGATCACCACTGTACCATACTCACAACACCATAGAAGCGTGAAGGACTGTAGGCTACTTTGAGTAACTAAGATTTGAGTAAAATATTTTACCTTTTGAGCCTGAGGGAGCTGGAAAACAACAAAACAGAACAAGCAATCATTACAAATTAAATAAATTTGAAGAGCTATTTCAGTTGTTGTATTCATAAAAATCACAAACACAATAAAAACAACAACAACAACAACAATAACAAAGTATTAAAGAAACTACAGAAACTAAGTTTACAGTGTCAATTGATTCAACTTACTGAGGGCTTATATTAATGTAGCTCATTATTTGAGCTAAATATATTATATTCACATCACAAAAGCATGCTGCAATTTGTTAAATACCATAGCGCTAAGGTAAGGACTGTTTTCAGATATGGTATCACATTTGAACTGTGAAGTAGTCCCATCTTCCTGTACACAAATATAATACAACATAAATGTAGTTTCAGTTTTAAGACCAACCATTCTTGGTTTGTAAACATCTAAACCTATAGTTACTAATAATGAAATGGACATTAGGAGAGGTTTGTCATATTAAAGTAGAAGGTTGTATTCTTTGACACAGGAAAGAAAAACAAAACGGTAAGTAATAGAAAGTTACTGACTTCATGCAAACATTCTGTCATAGATGCATAATATACAATATGCATAGAAGAACATGTCTGTAGTGTAAACACAAGTATGATTATATGCACATACATGCCAATACATGGTGTTCATGCATAAATACATAATTGTATCACACATGTTCTTAGGTGTTCATACCTTGTTGTAAGCAAAGTATTTACAGTACCAACTCACATTAAAAGGCCTGGAGAGCAGGCAATAGACTCTATTACATACCAAACACCTTATTTATCAGAGTTGAAAAATGAGTTCTGTTTCTACTTTAGGAAAAAGAAAACGCATTTAAGGTTATGGAGAGGAACTCAGAAAAATAAACTATTATCAGCACAATAAAGTCTTCACTTTTTTCCAAATTCTTCTCCTCTTACTTTCAAGCTCTGAGAGAAATTTACCACACACAACAATTTAGCCTTGTAGTAAATCCACCTTCTCAAGAAATTTGCAATACAAATTGTTTCTCTACAGGCATAATCAACACAGAAACAGGCACATGAGTTAATACCAAATGCCAAAAGATCTTCAAGATCTCTAGTGATCTTCTGAAAGGCCTTCTATCATTGCTCAGAATTAAAACAGACAGAAAAAAAACAACTTCCTCATAGTACTCTGCTACAAACTAATGCCCACATTAGTATGTCATGAATGAGAATAGTCACCTGTGATGCTTAATTCATGAATCCTGAAAGCAACCTGTCACAATTTTTCTCTGTTTTCACAATATAAAGCATAACAAAATTGGGGGCAGGGAGAATTGCTGCATATAAATTCCCTTTATCCTAAAACCTGAATGCATCAATAGTGAGATATGAGTGATGATTACACTGAAGCGTGACCTATATGTGTTTCTTGAAAGACTTTTTTAAATAACAGTTAATAAAGAAAGACATAAAAGGGTTGCTGCAGAAATTGCAGATATCTGATGAACTTTAAATACATTAGCTAAACTGTATGTAGATGCTTAGAGCACTACTTAAAGCAGCTCAACACTTTTCTGAACATTTTTCTACTTATTAGTCTTTGACTTGGTCAACAATTTTGAGAAGTCAGATCTTTTTATTTTTTCATTCAGAACAAAAAAAGGAAAGTTGAAATATCAATTTTTGAATGTTCTGTTGCAGTACTGAAACTGTTTTTCTCTCTAACACTGCCTTTTGTGCCTTTTTGTTTTTAAATACCACCTTCTTGTACAACACATGTAAAAAATCTTGGGCATTCTTTCATTGTTACCTACATAAAGGCAGGTGCAGTAAAGAATCATATCCAAATTTCCACCTTCCAAACAAATTTCAAAGAACTTTGCCCAAGCCGCTATGCATAGCAAACTCAGGTGGTTTAATAATCAGCTAATTTGTATGTCATAGTCTACAAAATAGTGCTTGAAGGTAAAGGTAACCAAGGCAACCAAGGCAATATTAGAATCATTGTAGAAATTCTTACTTCCAGGCTGGGGAGGGGAGAGGGATGGAACCTCAAAAAAATGATCAAAAAAAGCAACCATGAATGTATGCACATACACAGTGCTCTGTTGGGACTTCAAATTTGTAGCTGAATCCTTACAAAATTATTAGTACTGTTGATGCAACTTTCACTAATTATTTTCAGAACTTGAATTTACTCCTGTTTAAGCACATCTCTTCTGCTATTACGGCTTGGTCAGTTTCAGAAGGGACAGGCAGCATGGAAGGGGTGGTGGTGTGCCTCTATATATCAGAGAGAGTTTTGGTGTCGTGGAACTTGAGGCTGGGAATGATAAGGTTGAGTCCCTATGGGTTAGGATCAGCGGGAAAACCAACAAGGGAAGCATCCTGGCGGGGGTCTGCTATAGACCACCGAACCAGGATGAGGAGACTGATAAGGAGTTCTACAGGCAGCTGACAAAAGTTGCAAAATCGTCAGTGCTTGTTCTTGTGGGGGACTACAACTTCCCAGGTATATCCTGGAAATACAACACAGCCCAGAGAAAGCAGTCTAGGAGGTTTCTGGAGAGCATGGAAGATAGCTTCCTGATGCAGCTGGTTAGTGAGCCTACCAGGGGAGGTGCCCCGCTAGACCTGCTGTTCACAAACAGAGAAGGACTCGTGGGAGATGTGGTGGTTGGAAACTGGGTGGTTGGAAACTGGGAAAGGCTGTGGATGTGGTCTACCTTGACTTCAGCAAGGCTTTTGACACCGTCTCCCACAGCATTCTCCTCAAGAAACTGGCTGCTCATGGCTTGGACTGGAGCACGCTTTGTTGAGTTAAAAGCCGGCTGGATAGCCAGGCCCAAAGAGTCGTGGTGAATGGAGTCAAATCCAGTTGGAGGACGGATACTAGTGCTGTTCCCCAGGGCTCGGTGCTGGGGCCGGTCCTCTTTAATAACTTCATCGATGATCTGGATGAGGGCATTGAGTGCACCCTCAGTAAGTTGGCAGATGACACCAAGCTAGGTGCGTGTGTCGATCTGCTCGAGGGTAGGAAGGCTCTGCAGGAGGATCTGGATAGGCTGCACCGATGGGCTGAGGTCAACTGCATGAAGTTCAACAAGGCCAAGTGCCGGGTCCTGCACCTGGGATGCAATAACCCGAAGCAGAGCTACAGGCTGGGAGATGAGTGGTTGGAGAGCTGCCATGCAGGGAAGGACCTGGGAGTGATTGTGGACAGTCGGCTGAATATGAGCCAGCAGTGTGCTCAGGTGGCCAAGAAGGCCAACAGCATTCTGGCTTGCATAAGAAGCAGTGTGGCCAGCAGGTCTAGGGAAGTGATTGTCCCCCTGTACTCGGCTCTGGTGAGGCCGCACCTCGAGTACTGTGTTCAGTTTTGGGCCCCTCTCTACAAGAAGGACATGGAGGTGCTAGAGCGAGTCCAGAGAAGGGCGACGAAGCTGGTGAGGGGCCTGGAGAACAAGTCCTATGAGGAGTGGCTGAGGGAGCTGGGTTTGTTCAGCCTGGAGAAAAGGAGGCTCAGGGGCAACCTTATTGATCTTTATACATATAAGTACCTTAAAGGAGGCTGTAGCGAGGTGGGGGTTGGTGTGTTCTCCCACGGGCCTGGTGACAGGACGAGGGGGAATGGTCAAAAGTTCTGCCAGGGGAGTTTTAGGTTGGATCTTAGGAAGAAATTCTTTACCGAAAGGGTTGTTAGACATTGGAACAGGCTGCCCAGGGAAGTGGTGGAGTCACCATCCCTGGAGGTCTTTAAAAGACATTTAGATTTATAGTTTAGTGATATGGTTTGGTGGAGGACTTGATAGTGTTAGGTCAGAGGTTGGACTCGATGATCTTGAGGTCTCTTCTAACCTAGACAAGTCTGTGATTCTATGATTCTGTTTTTGCCATGTGAAGGAGTTACAGTCACATGGAATGCAAGTAAAGATTTCCTATTGATAATTACCAGCCAAATCAGATGCTCCATGCTTTCATTTAATAAACTACTTCTACACCTTTACTGGGATTATTTTCAAGAGCGCATTAAGAAGAGTTTGCAAATCCGAGTCCCATATTATTTGTTACTTGTTGCTGAATTAAGTATCTCAATCCCTTTTATAGCAGTTTGTAACATTAGGAGTATTTCCTTGCTCTGAAAGATGTGTAGTCAAAGCCTTAATTAAGAATAACAGGGGCAGCAGATAAGATTTACATTCCAATAGGATTTTTCCTGGGCTGGTACTCTTGTCACTTTTCACCTAAGCTTCAAAATCCAAGTTCACAGTCTTTTCCTGCAAAAAAACCTGTCTTTGTTGCAGCCAGATAAATCTTCATTCTGTTGATTTGAAACTTGGCTGTTACAGAATCTATATGCCAGAAATTCAGTTAATAATTGGTGCAAATTCCTTTGAAATAAATGATAGAAGTTTGTCTGACATTATCCTTTCTGGGAGGCCATAGGAAACAAATAATTTTCCTAACAATAACAGTAATAGTCTTCTGGTCTGACTCTTTATTGCATAGTCTAAAAATTGCATGTCTCTGTGAAAAACCCAGCAGGTACCTCTGATTCCTGGGGTTTGCTTTATACACTGCCAAGAGGCAGTTTTGCAGTAAACTGTATGATCTTCTCCTGACCCTTAAAAAACACTGCAGAGCTTTCTATTCTATGTGCACCTATAGAAAACTGCGACATTTTGGTGACTTTATTCAGGTGCAACCACAACAAAGTAGCCAATGTTTCTTTTTGTTTTTCCGTTACTGTCTCTTCCTCCCTCTGGTGATCATCTCTAAAAGAAGATATGTGATAGGGCATATATCTGTTTGACTCGCTCCAAGTTTACTAGTTTTCTTAAAATGGCTGTGTCTGAGGTGCAGAAGGAAGTCTGTGGAAGACATATCCTAAGTTCCCAGATCTTGTAGTATACGGAAAGGAGAATAACATCTGAGTTGTAATTAATGAACTTCTAACCCTTCTGTCCAACAGCATGCCAGCCTGAGAGAGCCCTTCTGAAGACTAGCACTGACTAGATCTCTGCTAACACTTCA